GACATTCCCAAATTCACGGTCATTTTAAAAATTTTATTTATGCTTATTTTAAAATCAGAGTATCCTTTTTAAAGAACAATGTTGTCGAATTTTGTTCCCAGAAAACATGATAAAGGTTTTATCAAAGCATTTCTGAAGAAATGTATTTGTTTATATTAAAACATTGGGATGTCATCGTCAATAGATAAACATAAGCATAAACAAACCTTACATTCTTTTACACTAGTGATTTACATCTCCTTTAATCTCTCAGTGTAATGTAGCTTCGTATTGACACCTGTGATACAAATAAACTGAGTGGGTCAGGTTGGGAAACCTGGTGAGTACATAGGGTTTTCAACCCACAATAATAAAGTTATTATGTTTAATCATCAAACAATAAACCCAATTACCCATCCACATTATCTTCTTTATTCTTAAGTATCTTCCCTAAGAATCATCTATTCCTCATTATTTATTCCTAAGGATTGTCCTAAGGAATAGACACGAAGTCCATCGTTTCCAGGGTTTATATAGCAGACACTAAGTCCACAGTTGCCAGGGTTCATCTAACAGGCGCTAAGTCCATAGCTGCCAAGGTTTATCTCATTTATTGACAACATTATTTTAGGGAGTCCACCCGCAATACATGTCAATGGGTTTTTAGAGTACACTGGGTGAAACACATCGTTCACGACACCTACAGGTTGCGAGCCTGCTAGTGTTCCACTGGACTGTCTAGAATAGTCTGTGGTTGTCATCTATACTCTGCTAGATGATGGGGCCATCGCTTGGTTCATCGCTTCTCACTATCTTTTACCACTCATATATCATCGCTCATCATTCATCTCATTTTTCATCGCTCATCATTCATCTCATCTTTAATCTACCCATCTTTTACCCATCATAATTATAGGTATAAAATACATATACATTTTAAAACAATTAACACATGTATATATTTGTTCATCCAACATAAATATTAAGTACACAGATAATATGCACACATAGCACGTAATTTATATTAAATACTTCATATCTATGTGTAAGATGAAAGTAACTATGCATTCACTTGTTAAAGTGATGATTCCAAATTCGGGCAGCGCTTCGCTTCTAACGATTCTATTTTCCTTCGACGAAACCTAGAATTATTATGGATAAGTTTTAGTCTAATTTTATTGCGACTAATTATTAGTCTAGATTCATCATTAACTCAAAGTCTACTTTCATGATCTATCAAGTAAGGAACAACCATGTAGGATCATATCGGAGGTAGGGTCCGTTTGGTATACGAAGTATACTGTTTGGAAATCCCACTTTAAATACCTCACTAAATCACAACCTAGACATCATCCTCGTAAGTAGATCAATCAGTATAATGACTTGGAATCACTGATAAATCTTGTTTATAGGTTCATAATAACGATAATGAACTTAAACATAAGTTATACTTAAAGTACGGTAAGCATAACTCATATTACAGGGGGTTTAACGAAGAACCGGGCCCTGCGCAGGCAGAACTTCTGAGCCGAAAAGCTCTTTTTCTCGGAGCCTTCGGGCGCTCCGGGGATTTCCTCTAGCACCTTGAGGTTACTAGGGCTTTAGAGGGGTTTTGGGAGGTTTAGAGAGAAGTTAGAATGAGAGAGAAATGGGTTTTGGTGTGAGAATTGTGGAGACCTTCGCATGTTATTTATAGGCTGAAATACAGCTCAACTCGTCGAGTTATTGCCTCCAACTCGTCGAGTTGGTTCCACATGTCACCTTCTGGTGGCAAGGCTTGGGGAGAAAGCAATGACCCAGATTCAACCACGTCACCCTGTTCGCAGCAGCACCCTGCCGACTTCTAAACCCCGTAACTTTCGCATACAAGCTCCATTTTTGATATTATTTATATCCACGCGTAGGTATTGACAATATCTACAACTCTTCTTTTGACTCCATCAGCTAATTCTCGACCTATTTTAAATTTAACAGTATGAGAAGATTACAATGTTAAATGACCGTGTAAAATTCATAACTTCTACATACAGAATCCGTTTTCGTCTGTCTTTTTATTGTTGAACTCCTATTAATGAGACCTTCATTTCTCATTTAGGTTGAGTCAGCCAAAAATCGATCGATCTAAAATTCGAATTCCGGGTTGTGCATTGTTATGCCAAATCTTAGAAAAATCATAACTTCCTCATACGAAGTCAGATTTGGGCATTCTTTTTATGCACGCTCTCGGTTTAACGTATACAACTTTTGTTTAGATCGCTAAGGCTAAAAGTAATTTATCAAAAATTCACTTTTTACGTTACGCGGTGTCGTGCCGGTTTAGCCGTAAAACTTCGAAAGGTCATAACTTATTCGTTATAACTCGGATTTCAGCGTTCTTTATATGTACAGAACCCTTGTGAGATATACTATAACTTGGTTAAGATTATTTATTCTCAATAATCTTCTATCAAAAAGTCATTTTGATGCTTATTGTCTCTAAATTGACTAGCCCGAATCTGCGGGCGTTACACTGAGCGACGCCAGACCAACGACTAACTTCGGCCACTACACATGAGCATCGCCAGCCCAACACCTTCTTTCTTCAGCTGGTATGCTTCTTGTCTCCATCTCTGAAATCAATTTTATTCCATCTCTAAAATCGATTTGTTACGTGTAATCAATTTTCTTGGTTCTCTTCTTCATCTTTAAAATCAATTGGTATGTGTAATCCATGCCCTTTTATCGATTTGTTATGTGTAATACATGCCCTTCCACCGTTTTTTCCATTGATGTCAAATGCATGATTACTGATTTACTACTATGAAATACAATATGTAGATTAAATTTCAACTCATCAGTGGTTAATCTTGTTTCAATTTTGGCCAATAGGAAGAGGTGTGATTTGGATGTTAACAGTCAATTGCAAAGCAAATCAATTTTGGTTTATCTTGTTTCAATTTTGGTTTTAGAGTATGTTTTCTTTAAAGGAAGCACATAAATATGACATGTAATTTCACTTGATGAGGTTAATTCATCTCAACTTTATGAAAATTAGAAAAAAAAGATGTTTGTTTATCTCAACTTGATCAGATTAATCAAATACGTGACTTGAAAGAAATAGTTTGGCGTTGATTTTTTCATTGGTAATTTCATGATTTAGGTGTGGTTAACTCGTCAATTCAAGTAGAACCACTTGTTGGAATCCTTACATTCTTTCATGCAAAAGTGGTTTTCCAGGTATCACTAACGTTGGAATGGTGGCAATTGGATCTGGTCAATCTTTTTTGTTATTTTTGTTTATAGACTTTGTAATTATCTACGTTTAAGTTGGATTTTGTCTGATATATTGTATATTTTGTATAAATATTCATTAATTTTATTCATATATTTTATCAAATAGATACATTTTATTTGTCACAAAACATAACAAGATGGTAAAATTGTCATTTTCAGCAGTCAACACAAACTATTTAGATGTGTAATCAAACAGCATGGTTTCAGATAGTCAGATATAATCAGAACTTCAGACCTAGTCACACTGACTCAGTCAGATATGTAATCAAACAAGATGATTTCATGAGATGCATATGTTTTATAAATTTCGGTTTGCTTTTTCTTGATTTTTACATTCATAGAAACGAAACAAAGCCGAATTTTTTAGTTAAAAAAATTCAAACCCAAACCATAGATTTTAATTTTGTCCAAGATATGGAAGTGCATCTCTACATGACGGCTCGGTAGAAAGCAGTTTTCCAGTGCTTACGTGCTCCACATGCTCAAGATTTTCTTCTGGCTATCCCTATAGATGGGCTTGGCCAACATATGTCTCCCGTGGAGTATTGTACTATCCTTAAATATCGACTCATGATTCCCATATTTCCAACTGACGAGATATGTCCAGTGTGTCGCAAGGCATGTTTTGACTCTTTTGGAGAGCATGCAGTTCACTGTAAAGAACTCCTGGGGTTCAAATACATGCACGATATGGTTAGGGATGTTTTGTTTGACATATTTAAGCGTGCTGGGGTTTCTGCTAAGAAAGAGGCACCTGTTAATTTCTTGACAGACCCGACAGAAGGAAGGTCAACCCTCAGACCGGCTGACATTTTGATTTTTGGATGGGTCGGAGGGAAACACGCATGTGTGGATCTTACAGGGGTATCCCCTCTCGTGGGCCTGAGGGCTGGGGATTTCACGGCGGGACAGGCTGCTTTAAAAGCAGCTACATGCAAAGTCACCAAACATGAGGAATCGTGCATGGAAAATCAACACGTGTTCACACCATTTGCATTTGATACGTTTGAGTTCCTCGCACCAGATGCGGTAGAGCTTCTTAAAAGAGTACAACGAATCATGCATAGTAATGTTATATCCCCTAGATCTTCAGATGTAGTCTTTAAAAGAATTAGCTTTACCATTCAAAAGGGCTTAGCGGCGCAGCTTGTTGCTCGTTTGTCATCTCACTCATTGTACGATGACAATTAAATTATGAATGGTATAAAAAAATATTCTTTTTGATTATTCAGATTTCAAAAACTCTTCTGTTTTTTCTCAATCCTTCTCCTAGTTAAACATACTTTAATTTATAACAAAAATTAGTTTATGGTAAAACAACAAAGGTATAACTACTCATGCATGTTTTGAACTACCTATGCATAACATACCATAAATGAAAAGGCATATGGAGGTTATGCATTGTCGAGTTGTACGTGGACCCAATAGTACCAATCAACGGAAAAATTCTCGTGCCTTGAAAAATCTCAAGTCTAACGGTGTACTGAACACACACATTAATAAATTCACCGAAATTCTGCAAGTCACGTGACTCCAAAAATAAAAAAATAATCCAAAAAAAAAAGTAGACGTTAAGCAAAGGAAAATACCTGTTACCAAGGATATAATAGTATAATCCATAACAGATATGCTTCACACACTTGTACCTTACGCCTTAAAAGTTGTATATAGCTATAGATTTAACTTTTCAGCTCTGAAGAAATACGTAGCATACCAAGTAGAATCTTTAATTTATTAAACTATTTCACAGACAAAACCCAGATGAAAAATCGATGATCTGAGCTTCTTAGAGAGAGAGAGAGAGAGAGAGAGAGAGCGGTTGCTGCTGCTAAGAAGGTAAATGCAGAACAAGGCTTCTGTGCGTTTTGTTTTTATGAAATCACGGAGATCGTGGGGGGTTATTTTGTTATTATTTACATTTTTTCGATTTCTAGATGATATTTTTTTGTTTTATTGTTGGAATTTTAAAAGAAAGTTTATCCCAAATCAGATTTTGAGCTGTTTCCGAGTTGCAGGGTAATTCAAGCATTTAATTATCTGTTTCGATTCAAATCCCTGTTTTCTTGCTTATATTGTTAGTTTATTTATTATTTATCTGGGTTTATCGTGAAGTACAGTTTATTCGAAGCTTCATCTCTGATTCCTTGCTTATTTTTTTTCAGTTAATTTGGGAAAAACTTGTCGAATCGCTTTTACATTTGTGGGTTTTTTATAAATTACAGTTTACTTTGAAGAACAGAAGCTTAATCCGCCAAAAAAGATCTCGAACTTGAGTTTTTTTATATGGATTTTTGGTGTAAACTTCACTTTGCGTTAGGGACCCACCATTGCTGAAAACTCCAAGCTTTTACCTGCTTTCTTTATTTGAATTAAAGAAAAAAAACCAGTTTACTTAGTTTTCAAGGATTGTAGGGTCCTCTTAAACAAACAGATCTCTGTTGTGTATCTCTGTTGTGTGGACTTCAACAAACGAGATTTTTAGTTTCTTTTCTTTTTTTCTTCTACTTTCTTTGTTTCAAGCTTGGGAATAAAGATTAAGCAAAGTTCTTAATCACCCAACAAACCCATGATTAGTCTTTTAAAACCCCTTTTTATAGTTTGGATCTATGTGTTATTTGTTTAATAGTTATTAAACAATCCTAAAAAACTCGCTTTTCTGTATGCAGATATAAGTGAAGCGATGACATGTGGGTCAAGTGTTGGTGCTTTCTCCCTTTTGGGCAAAGCAGAAACAACAACTCTGTTTTTAACATCTTAACTGTTATCGCATCATTTAGGGTTTTGAAAAATGAGAGATTTTTCTTGATTTGTGGGGTTTATAGGGGGGATTTTTGATAAAAATGGGGGCAATTGGAGGGGAAGAGTTGTTGAATTGGGAGAAAATGGATAATGGAAGAGAGGAGAAGATTCTTGTTTTGGTGAGATTGAGGCCTTTGAATGAAAAAGAAATTTCAAGAAATGATGTTTCAGATTGGGAGTGTATCAATGATACAACGATTCTTTTTAGGAATAGTTTGCAGGAAAGATCCATGTTTCCTACTGCATATTCATTTGGTAAGTTGATTCTTTTTGATTTTTTTTAAAGTTAATTTATTTGTATATAATGTAAAAAGTTTAAAATTTTATAGAGTCCATTTGATATGATATGAGTTTTTGAATCTAATTGGTTTCCGATCTTGCAAATATTGCAATTTAAAAAGGTAAGTAGATTCATAGTTGTATTAGTAAAATGGATTTTCTTGATTTTTTTGGTTAATTTATTTGTATTTACTTTTATATTGTCATCTCTTTTAGGTTTCTTGGTAAGTTTTGAATCTAATTAGTTTTTGATCTTGATATTCAAATTGGCTGGTAGATTCATAATAGTTTCATTGTTGCAAAGCCATATGATATGATATAAATTTTGGATCTACTTTGTTTTGTGATCCTTAAAATGATGCACTTTGTTGATCATTATTCATTAGACTCAATCTTTTAATAATGGTTAATTATGTAAAGTTAAAGATTTACTTTTGCTTTTTCTAAACTAGTTTATATAAGTGCAATAAGCCAATAACTAGCAACTTACTTTCATCTATTTGTTTATTATAGCATCCTACTTTCATTTTTTTCTTATTGAAAATATGCATTTTCAATATTTTAAAATCTATCATTATATTGTTTCTTGTTTGGAAACAGACAGAGTATTTAGTGGTGATGCAACAACTAGGCAAGTCTATGATGAAGGAGCTAAAGGGATTGCACTTTCGGTTGTTAGTGGCATCAATTGTAAGTCCAATTGTGTTTATTGGTTGAAAAGTCAAAGTCAATGACACTCTTAACTAATGAATGTTTCCATTTTTAGCGAGTATTTTTGCATATGGGCAAACGAGTAGTGGAAAGACATATACAATGATGGGGATAACAGAGTACACTGTGGCAGATATATACGACTATATGCAAAAAGTATGAAACTTTATGATATACTTCCATTGATTTATTTATCATACTTCCTATTACAACATTATACTTTCAAAATCTTGCTATTTATAGCAATGACTATTTTCGTTATTATAGTTGCTATATTGGATGTTTCTTGATATAATGATTTATTTTTTGTTTGTGTAGCATGAAGAAAGGGCGTTTGTTTTGAAATTTTCGGCTATAGAAATCTATAATGAAGCTATAAGAGACCTTTTAAGCACAGAAAATATTCCACTTAGGGTGTTAGATGATCCAGAGGTAATTTCATTTTCATGTTCATTAACATTTGTAGTTTATTAAAGTATAAAAAATATTTGTTTATTTATTTTTATTTATCTCAGAAAGGGACAATCATAGAGAGACTCACAGAAGAAACACTAAGGGATTGGAGTCATCTCAAGCAACTATTATCTATTTGTGAAGGTACCCTCCATAAAAGAAATAAATTTTTAATTAGAATAAAGAAAAAGATAATGCATTGTTGTCTATAATAACGTTTTACGGGTTTTTTGAGCTTTGATTGAATAATCTTGTGTTGGAAATTGGAATGATTTATGTATTAAGATAATTGATTATTAGTTTTTGGGTAAGAGTGATTCTTATTTTCTTGATTATTTGGGGGTAAAATAGTCAATATTTACTAATTAGTCAATGCTGTCTTTTGCAGCTCAAAGAAAAGTGGGAGAGACATCCCTCAATGAAACAAGTTCAAGATCTCATCAAATCCTTAGATTGGTATGCTACTCTATATAAAAAACATATTTTATCAATATATATATATATATATATATATATATATATATATATATTATATATTCACACACACACACACACATACACATACATAGTATGTGTGTTTTGTGAAGTTTAGAAATGATTATTTGGTGTTTGCAGACGATTGAGAGTTCAGCTCGTGAGTTCATAGGGAAGGATAAGTCAACAAAACTAACAGCCAGTGTGGTATGGACTAAAGAAACTATGCTTTTCTTTGGATCATAAAACTTATAATATGAGAAGTTTAATAAAAAAATAAATGGCATAAAGAAACACCATACTGTGAAGAGTTTTATATAAATTAAATTATCATTTTCAGAACTTTGTTGATCTTGCTGGAAGTGAAAGGGCAGCTCAGGCATTATCTGTTGGACAAAGGTTGAAAGAAGGTTGCCATATAAATCGTAGCTTATTGACACTATCCACAGTCATAAGGAAACTAAGGTTTGTTTGTTTGTTTTTACCTATTCCATTAAACTCAAAATCCATGAAAAGCATCAAGAATATATTGTTGAATTTTGCAATATATAATCACAAAAAGCATTCCAAATAATTATTCAAGAAATGGACTTATATATGTTCCAACAACATGTTATTAAAATGAAAGAAGTTGAGTTCTATAATAGAAAGAAGAAATGGACTTGTATATGTTCCAAAAACATGTTATTAAAATGAAAGAAGTTGAGTTCTATAATAGAAAGAAGAAATGGACTTGTATATGTTCCAAAAAAATGTTATTAAAATGAAATAAGTTGAGTTCTATAATAGAAAGAAGAAATGGACTTGTATATATTCCAAAAAAATGTTATTAAAATGAAATAAGTTGAGTTCTATAATAGAAAGAAGAAATGGACTTGTATATGTTCCAAAAAACATGTTATTAAAATGGAAGAAGTTGAGTTCTATAAATGAAAATAAGATGATGACATCTATAACAAACAAATAAACGAAAGTACGTTGCCTAAATCTGATTTTATGTTTTTATTTTTTATTTTTAGTAAAGGAAAACACGGGCACGTGAATTATCGGAAGAAGTTGAGTTCTATAAATGAAAATAAGATGATGACATCTATAACAAACAAATAAACGAAAGTACGTTGCCTAAATCTGATTTTATTTTTTTATTTTTTATTTTTAGTAAAGGAAAACACGGGCACGTGAATTATCGGGATTCAAAGCTGACACGGATACTGCAACCGTGTTTGGGTGGAAATGCAAGAACTGCAATTATTTGCACTTTAAGCCCTGCTCGTGAGAATGTTGAGCAATCTAAAAGCACTCTTTTATTTGCAAGTTGTGCAAAAGAAGTCACTACAAATGCACAAGTCAATGTTGTAATGTCTGATAAGGCTTTGGTCAAACATTTACAAAAAGAATTAGCTCGATTGGAAAACGAGCTAAGAACACCCGCACCTCCGGATTATACATCACTCTTAAGAAAGAAAGATCAACAAATCGAAAAGGTACCTTTTTTTTAGAAAAAAGGGCAAAATTGTAATTTCACCTTTATTAATGATTTTGTTTGTATTATAGCTGGAGAAAGAAGTGAGGGATCTTATCAAGCAAAGAGATCTTGCTCAATCACGGATTGAGGAGTTGCTGCTAGCTGTTCGAAATGATCAAACCTCAACACCATGGGTAAAATTAATTTGTACTATAAATCCTCATTACATAAATTAAAAAAAAATCATTTACAATTTCATTTTCATTTAATTAAAAATTTATTTTCCTAAAGTAACTAGAAAATATAATATTTTTTAGTATAATCTTATGTTTAATTCTTTATTTTTGTAAATAAAAAGAAAAAAATAATAATTTGTACTATGAAATTTCATTTTTTTCGTACTAAACATCGGTTTCCAATAATCTCGTATCGGAGCTCTTTCAGAATGGAAACACATATGAAAACGAATATTCGGCGTCGGAATCATCAAGTGTTAAGTTATCCCGTTCAATTCCGCCGGAAGGAAACCGGAATTCACCATCGCCATCGAACGACGTGTGCAAGGAGGTCCGATGTGTGGAAACAGACGAATCCACCCAACAATCAAATACCTTCGGAATCACAATCACCTCTCGTTTCCAATGAAGAAACGGAATCGGAATCAGTCTCGGGTCCCACCACAAGACCCCAATTCCGAAACCGCATCAACATCGGGGCATTGGAGCAAAACTTTCAAGATCTACAAAACACGATTAATTCTCTAGTCACACCACCGGAAGAACCCTACGAAGAACAAGAAGTACAATCACAAATATCAAATTCCACGAGTTTTAGGTTAATGAAAAGCCGGAGTTGTAGAGCTAATCTTATGACGAGTTCTTCACCACCTGAATTCGAGAACACCCCGCCTAATGATTTTGAAAAAGGGTTTCCAGGAAGACCGGAGAGGAAGCTGTGGGAACTGCCGCCACCGGAGTATGGTGGTGCCGCTAGTGGAGGGTTGTTGAGAAGTGACTCACAGTCGTCTCTTGGAAGTACTTTATTGGATGAGGCAATTGCTCGGAAGGGGAAAACATCTGGAGAAGAAGATATTCCTAGTGTAGATACATTTGTTGCAGGATTGAAGAAAATGGCAAAACTTCAGTATGACCAGGTTTGTGCATTGTAGTTTTAATTTGTAATTTTTTAACATGAATTTGTAATTTGTATGTGGATGATTTAGGTTAATAATGAGGGAGGTGATGGTTTGGGGAAGAACATGAAAAGCATAGGATTGGATTCAATTACTGGTTCACCTCCTGCTGATTGGCCTCAACAATTTGCAAGACAACAAAAATCAATACTTGAACTTTGGCAATCATGCAATGTTTCTTTAATTCATAGGACATATTTTTTCTTGCTTTTTAGAGGTGATCCCATGGATTCTATTTACATGGAGGTTGAGGTTAGAAGGCTTTCATTTCTCAAGGAAACTTTTTCAAAGGGAAATCCAGCCATTCAAGATGGGACACACTCTAACATCTGCATCAAGGTAAAATAATGATGTTTAATTTTTTTATTCTTGAGAAAATGACAATTTAAACTTGTTTCTGTGTGATAAACAGCATCAAAGCTCTAAGAAGAGAGAGATCAATGTTAAGCAGGCTTATGAACAAACGGTTTTCTGAAGAAGAAAAGAGGAAACTTTATGAAAAATGGGGTGTGAATCCAAACTCAAAAAGGAGGAGGCTGCAGTTGATCCACACCCTGTGGAGCAACACAGAGGATCCAAACCATGTACAAGATAGTGCTTCAATAGTTGCAAAGTTGATCAGGTTCTCAGAACAAGGTCAGGCCCTTAAGGAGATGTTTGGGCTTAGTTTCAGCCCACCAAAAATGGTCAGGAGATCATTGGGTTGGAAACACAGCATGGCATCACTCTTGTAAAAGTCAAAGGTTTTATAAAAGTTGACTTCTGGTGGGTGAACAGATTGACAAAAGTAAGAGCATTTAACCGATACTTGTTTAGTAGAATGAAATTGGATTTGGGTCATTGCTGCATGAATTCGAATTTACTGATTTCGGTTTGCTGTTCTTAGTGTAATACAAGTTTTATGTTTGACTTTTGGGTTTTGTGAACTTGGGCAGATGGTGCTTGTTTTAGTAAGTGATAGAATGGAAGTGGGTTTGAACGGTTGTTGATTGTCAAGCATATATTAATTAGAATTGTCAGATTTGTGTTTGTTGTTGATAATATTTAGTACTTGGAATTGTCTATGTTTGACTTTTGAGGTGGAAATGGTTGTATTTGACCTATACTTTGTTTAAACAACGGTTCTTTGTGATAGAATGAAAATGGGTTTGTTGTTCTTGATGAAGTTGACTTCTTTTAAATGTCTATGTTTGACTTCTCTAATTTATTATTCATTGTTCTAATATTTTTTCAAAATAATCAACTAACTACTAAAATCATCTCCCATGCCTATATTCTTAGCATGAACACTGTTCTTGGTCATTCTTTTTGTAAACGGATCGGTTGGATTCTCCTTTGATGATATTCGCTTCAAAACTAGATCTCCATCCTTAACTCTATCTCGAATGTAATGGAACTTCTTTTTTATATGCCTTGATCTTCTGTGATCTCTAGGTTATTTAGTCAAAACGACTGCACCTTCGTTTTATCATAGAATAATGAATTTTTATTGATTGGAGGAACACTCCAAGGTCATCTATGAAGTTTCTGATCAATGTAGCTTCCTTGGATGCTTCACTTGCAATAATATATTCAGACTTGCATGTAGAGTTTGCCACCGTTTGGAACTTTTCCAAGTCACTGCACAACCATTCAATACAAATACTCATCCGGACTGTGACTTTAAAACATCTCTATCTGTCTGGAAACTTGAGTTGCTGTAACCTTTTAGAACTAGCTCTTTTCACCCCTATACACAAGCATCATGTCTTTCGTATTTCTTAAATACTTAAGAATGTTTTTGACTGCCGTCCAATGACTGAGTCTCGGATTTTCTTGATATCAACTCAAAAGCATACGATACACCAGGACGAGTACATGTCATAGCGTACATGATCGATCATATAGCCAAGATTTAAAATAACAGAATCGAGCATCGATGCGTTTTCCCTTCGCCTCACAAGGCGTTAGCCTCGAGGTGAAGTGAGGCGTAAGCCCGAAGCGAAATTAAAAAATAAATATAAATATTATATATGTTATAAAAAATAAAATACTATACGTCAAT